TGAAACCACACTTTGGTCAAGGTCTCTGATGGGCTAGGCTAGATAACAATTTGGAGAGCAAACATCTCAAATCCAGGGGTTGGCTCGTGCCGGGTATGACACTCTGATAGGCCAATTAACTAAATCTACACAGCACCAATATAGGCTAAATAATATGAGATAGGCCAATAATGAGAGTCAAAATCTAGGCTACAAGTTCCTAGTCTGAAAACAGTCACTTGAATCCAATCAACTCACAATGGTGTGATGGTGGTTGGAAACTGATAATGAGTTTTTGAAGTGCCAACCAAAGTTGATACTACCAATTTTGCTGAATATTGACTATCTTCCCTCTTTATGCCTCCTTACATTCAATATCCATAGGTATTCTGAATGTCAATTCCACTCTTGAACACTTAAATCACTGGAGACTTGGCTCCCACATCCATCTCTCTCTATATCTTCCACCACAAGCACATTTTCTCCTTTTTCTTTAGCTTTCCTTCCAACAATTACTTCACACCTGGACACTGGACAGTACAAAAGAAATATTTCCTACCTAGACACCATTTAATTTTAAAATATTATTTTTGAATATAGTTTTTCTTCTTCACTAATTATATTTAATTAAATTTTAATATTCTTTTTGAAAATACAGTAATTAATAAATATTGAAAGTAATTTAGCTACAAATCATATATGAGTACATTCATGTTTTATCTCAACATGATACACACAAGAGCGTATGTTTTCAGTTTCAATAACTGGAGTGGATTGATTACATTATCTTAGAGTTGACTATGTCTTCGAAAATTATGACTGTTATTCATTTTGAAATAATAAAGCCAGTAATACTTTGCAATTACTCGAATAAGAGCAACAGGTGCACTAGTGTTAATATCTGTTCAGCTTTTCTAATACTTTTATACTTTATACTTTTTTATGAAATGGCGACCATACAATGTAGGTATTTTAAGCCAAGTATGGATGGAGATGAGTGTAGGATGAGTGGCGCGATCTTGTAGGGACCTACAGTTTATAGTGGAATCCGAACCACATTTGCCACACTAGCCAAGCATTTGTTAGTCAAAAAACAAATAACAGGTGCATTGACAAATCTAACTTAAATTGAACTAAGTGTGATGTCTATAACATGAGTTCTTTTCAGTGAGTATGTAGCGGTACTATTGTCCAAGAGGTTTAGGACGAGGGGATTATACACTAATCAATCAATTATTGAGATGGGGACGCCACCTAGGTGCGTATTTTAACCCAAATATGAGTGAAGGATGAGTGTAGAATGGTGTGTGATGACCTGTGTAGCTTTGTTACTAACTAATGTTGTTACATCTTCCTCAGTCATAATTCAACTGTCATTATGAAGGATTTGAAGGGGCTTGCAGGATGAATCTTTTTAATTGAAATCTTTGAATGATGTTTATGTATAAAAACCCTTCAAAATGAGGGATCACTCAATAGGGGTTGTTATTAAAAAAAATAAATCACCCCCACCCCCTACCCTGTTAAAGGGGTTTAAAAATATTGTTGATGTAAAAAATTGCGGAACCTATGTTTACAATCAATTCCACAAACAGAATGTTTCTATCTATTTCGTTTTACAAAATACAGACTTGTTTCCATATTATTTGTGAAATTGGTGCTTTTTCACATACAGTAAATCAAATTTTGGAATACCTGCCATTTTGGCTAGGGGTGAGATATCCACCTCAGGTTTGCGTCATTGTATTTCTTTTGACAAGCCCTTCAAAATGAGGGGTCGCTCAAAAGGCGTTGCTATTTGAAAAAAAAGTCACCCCCTACCCTGTTAAAGGGGTGAAAAATTTGTTTTGTGTAAAACATTGCGGAACCTTTGTTAAGAATCAATGCCACAAACAGAATAATATTTCTATCTATTTTGGTTAAAAAAATACAAATTTGTTTCAATACTTAATTTACACACTGTATGTTTTCTTTATAAGTCTTACTACTTATTTCTTATTGTTCATATTCTTATCTTCATAGTCCACAATCATACTTACTTACTTACCTAGGTGGTATAAACATGATAAAAGCAGTCAACCAATTTGACGTCCTAATAAATTCAAAATGTATGTCTTAAGGCTTTTGATTATTATGCTAAACCAAAATACAGTAGACTCCCTCTTATCCGGACTACACTTGGGGGAAATGACATCTCTTTAACCGGACAATTTTTATCAGCATATTGGTTTAACCGGACTAGATCGGCAGGAAGTGAGCGGTACTGAAACGACAGTTCTCGTGGGAAAGATTTAAGACCATAGTGATCACGTGTCTAAATACAATGCTCTCCTAAATTTAAGTCGAATATAACAGTAAACAGTCAGTTATAACGAGTTATGGGGAGGTTGGTTTAACCGGAAAACCCGTTATCCGGACTGTCCTCGGTCCCAAGGAGTCCGGATAAGAGGGAGTCTACTGTATGACGGATAAAGTGCATAAAATATCAAAATATTGTTTGGTGGGATGAGGGCTCCGCCATAGGTATGTTTATAAAGGGAGGTGTCCTATCTTTAATTTTTAACTATTCACACGTCTTGGAGTTGTGGCTACAGGATTTAAACTTCTTAGAATTAAGGTCATCAAGACTACTACTAGTTTGTACTTCCGCAAAAGCTAGTACTACGAGGGCAGTTCGGAAAATAACCTCCGTTTGCTACTTGCGCGGGAAATAGAGGGGGTAGCGCCGCCATTTTTGCTTCTGCGCGTATCGCAAGTCAGTCGGCGTCCAGCCGTGGTAGTGCGAAGGTCGTCTGAGTGCTAGTTTTTTTGCCGTCGATGGTCAAAATGAGTACTGCAATCGTTAATCCCGCTAAGTGTGAGGTGCGTGCTGTGATTCGGTTTTTCGTAGCCAAACAGTATTTGGCAGCAGCTATTCATAGAGAACTTTGTGCTGTGTATGGACCCAAAATAATGAGTGAAGGAGTTGTTCGGGAATGGGTTCGCTCATTTAAAAATGGCCGATCGAACGTGCATGATGAAGAAAGAAGTGGCAGACCATCTGTGGTCAGTGATGAACTGGTTGAGAAAATCAACGCAAAGGTTCGTGATAACCGACGATTCACCATCTCAGAACTTTCGGATGAATTTCCTCAAATTTCCAGGACTGTTCTGTACGAAGTTGTGACTGACAGGTTAGGTTACCATAAATTTTGTGCTCGGTGGGTCCCAAAAATCCTTTCGGAAAACCACAAGACTCAACGAATGACCTCGGCTCTGGACTTTTTGACTCGATACGACAAGGAAGGAGAGCATTTTGTGAACCGAATTGTGACTGGTGATGAAACCTGGGTCAAATACGTGAATCCTGAGACTAAAGAACAGTCTAAGTTGTGGGGTCATACGGCATCGCCACACAAACCAACAAAAGCACGGCAAGATTTTTCCAAAAAAAAAGCTCATGGCAACTGTGTTTTGGGACTCCAAAGGGGTACTGCTGGTTGAATTTATGGAACGTGGTGCAACAATTAACGCGGATTCGTACGTTGAAACGCTGAAGAACCTGAGACGGGCGATCCAAAACAAACGCCGCGGTCTTCTGTCGTCTGGTGTCGTCTTTTTGCATGACAACGCACGTCCTCACACTGCCCAAAAAACCAAGGACCTTTTGGACCAGTTCAAATGGGATGTTTTTTCACATCCTCCATACAGCCCAGACCTGGCTCCTAGCGACTACCACCTCTTCAGTCACATGAAAAAATGGCTTGGCTCCCAGCGATTTGATGATGATGAAGAACTGAAAGATGCAGTCACGGGATGGCTCAAGGCATTGGCGGGTGATTTTTTTAAAGAGGGATTTTCAAAGTTGGTCCATAGATACGATAAGTGTTTGAATGTCCAAGGAAACTATGTTGAAAAGTAGAGGAAAGACGTAGTTTTAAGATGTATATAATAAAAATGTTGTTGCTACTTCTGTGTTTTATTTATAGAGAACCGGAGGTTACTTTCCGAACAGCCCTTGTATTAGTACTCAGTAGTAGTAATACTATGGTCCTGTTGTACCCTCTAACACAAGTCTAGCATTCTTGTTCTCATTCATTTCCTATTTTTTAGTTATAATGAGTATAGACGAAATAGAATTTAATTTACATTGTACTAAAACTAAATAAAATATTTGAAACAATTAATTTTTAATTTGTATTTAATTTACTACTTTATTAATTATTACTTTGTGTCAAATTTGAGTTGAAATATACAAAAAATAGGCTAATAACCTCACAGGGAGGATAAAAATATTACAAGTCATAGATAGTCAGTATTAGTTGCCATTGGCTGATGGCTGTATGGGCTTTTAATTAACATTCCTGTCTAAGGAACATGTCTGACTTAAGTCAGTAACAATACTACAAGATCCACCACTCATTCCCACTCGAATCATACTTGGCTTGAAATTGGTTACCATTTTGGTAGTGCCTTTAAAACTTCTACGACTACTGGTGTTGTTATCATCACTATTTACGCGAGTTGCATACACTACTTTACCTAAGACAGTGTTTTAATTACTAAAAATCACTGCTCAAAACTTGTAAGAGAGGTTATGTTTATGTTTATAACCTCTCATTGCCACTGACAGTGATGCAACGAATCATTTTACCAATCACTAATTGCACCGATTGTTAACAATTATATTGTTAAACAGCTGATTACCACTATTACCATTACTATTACCAAATCCTTGATTGCAGCCCATTTCTGGATAATCTTGTAAATTCAATACATTAGTAAAAGTTTGAAGCAAATTCTATTTCTTTTCTCTCAATCCTTGAATTTCATTGGTCCGTTACCCGTGTTATTAAGTAAAAAAACGATGCTGTTAAATGAATCTTTTCAATCCTAAGAACTGAACTGAAATGGCTAGTTTAAAAAACAGTTGTAGATAAAAGTATGTATTGTATACTATAAGATTTTTTAGGTGTAATCACTTAAGGTAAAAAATATTTCAAAACACAATCAAGTAAAGTTTAATTGAGTCTCATATTTTTAGATTACACCAAGTTATCAAAATACTTAAAATACATAACTAGCGCAATATCTTAAAAAAAAAGCTTTATAAAAAAGTATCAAGAAACGCTTTCTTGTTATTCATTGTTGCATCAAAATCATGTAGTTAAGAACATATGTGGAAAGGAAACCATATTCTCATATTTAACTCTTTCAAAATTGTAATGTCAGTTATCATTAGGTCATCCTTACATACATTATCTGTACATTACAGATACAATACTCAACACTTATATGAGGTCTAGATATTTGACATTTATTTGAAATTGCACACTTAAAATTCTTTACAATATTGTCCAAGTTTTCTCTATCATAACACTATGATATCACTCTTCAAAATTACAAAATCATTTAATTAAGGCAGTGTAAAGGACACTTCGTCCATTTTATATTTGTTCGCAGTTAAGTCATACTGTAGTACTTTACTTGCTTTCTCTGGTATGAGTACAATACAATTAGACCTTAACCTCAAAATCCAAAGTGATAGCTAACTTTTACTCCAAACTGTTTAACAGTCCCTGTAAAGTATCGTAAAAGTTACATTTTGAGAGTCAGGTTTGGAGGAACTATTATCGATAAGGATAATTCATCATAAGTTATTTTTGTAAATAAGATGTTTTGCGCTAAACCGCAAAAGTTATTGAAATATTTGATATAAACAATAAAAAACTACAGATTTTTCAACTTTAAGCCCCCCTCCCCCCAAACCTAAAGCACAAAATCGTGTTACTTTTTATCATACAATACGGGGACTATATGGAACAGTTTTGAGTCATACGATAACCTTTCACTTTGGATATTGAATTTATACAGTTTTTTTTTTGCTAATTGCACTGTATTATACTAGATTCTCCATTATAACAGCATATCACCAGTTCACATAGTTAAAAATTTAACTACAGCCTTAAAAATCTAATAAAATAAAATACATAACATTATAGATTGTTCAAGTTTTATCTTGTTGAAGAGACTGGTATTGAACCCAGCTTAGGGAGGAAACTCTGAAATGTCAAAGCTTCATACACAAAACTTAATCAATATTTGAACAAGTTGCATGCCAAGTTCGTAAGGAGATTTTACTTTTGGCATTCAAAAAACTTCAATTCATATTCAAATTTTCCTTCATCTATAACTTTATATAAGGCCCTCTGTGGAATCTTCATCCAATTATCTTCGTCATCTGAGTTACTCTCCCCCCGTTTTTCACAACTGTTTACAATAGAAGCCTTCAATGTAGATGCATGTAAAAAATCATCCTTTTCAATCTTTACTTTAACAAAATATTCATTTTCCAACTTCCCAATTGGAGTTGCTTCAAATTTAATTTCAAAATATTTCTGGTTTAAATTATTAGTTTGAGTAATCCAGAATATATTGTCAAACACAAAGATAGGCAGATGTTCAAAATAGTATTCATCAGGATTCAAGTTTTGGAAAGAAAAACATTCGGATGAATTTGGTTTGTACTTATGAAGTGAGCCACAATGCTCTTTCTCATAGTGATCCACCAGTTTTATCAAAGGAATCACAGTTTTGCAATCCCTTTGCCTACACTCCGCAGGTCTAAAACCACAAAAGTCCTCATGGTCACTCCATGGTTCTAAAATTTCTTGGCAACCATCTTCATGGTACTTGCACTGACGAGGTATGGCTTCCAGAAGGTTTTTCAAACACACAGGATTCTCTGTTGTAAAAGGAGCTTCACATGTTGGGCAATTCTTTAACTTCTCGCAGCAGCAGTTGCAAACCCCATGGCCTCTGCTGCATGTCTTAAATGGAATTTTGATGGTGTCCAGACACACTGGACATTCTATAATTTCTTGCAGATATGATGTTATGTTCTTCAGCCTAGTTTTAGAGTTTTCCTGAAAAGAAAATAACAATTTTGGTTTTACATTTTACTTTAGTTAACTAGTAATTTTGACTAATGCTTATATTATACTATATTTTCAGACCCAAAAACAGCTTTTTACTAAACTGCAGAGGAAAGGGCTATTTTCAATACCAGTAAATACCTTGCGAACTTAAATTAGTTTTCTCTCCTAGCAAGAATTCAAAGATTTGGATTCATTATTATGTTGGTGGAGTAATACCATTGACACACTTTATATTATTTGGTTTAGTGTTACTGTAACACCAACTAAAAAATCTTTACAATCACTGTTTTACCTCGATAACCAAGGTAATCTCGGTCCCAAAAACCTTGGTTAATCAAAGTGTACTGGTATTTGTTTGTTTACTCGAGCGGAACCATTGACTACTGACTATTGGATAATGATGTAGACTAGTAGACATCCCCTGTACATTGACCAGCTGTTGCCAATTTTTTACTAAAAAGAACATAGTTATGTGAGTCAGTGACAGAATGTGCTAGCATTGACTATACACAGAACTGCATAGTTCTGTTTATAGTCAATGGTGCTAGTGTCTAAAATGCTGTTTTCTACCTCATTTTTTTGTTTCTGTCCAAGTTGGCAGGTCATAACAGTATCTATTTCTCGCAATAAGTTATTCCATTAGTTTGGCTCAGTAAAAACATTTGTATATTCATTCGACTAAAATCAGTAGTTTAGATCAACGCATTCTGTAGGTGGCTCACATCAACCATGACCATTTTGATAAAAAATACCCCCACCGCAGCAAACCTGCCGAATAAGCGAATTTCCATTTGCCTGAATTGATGTACAATTAAATCTATTTAAATAACATTAGGTTTTTAAACGAGTACCTAGGTTTTCTGCTACAGGGATGCTAATAAAGTGAGTTTTTTTTGTAAAATATTATTAGCTCAGTATAAAATAAATGAATTTGCCAAGTTTGATTAAAATATATCAATAAACAAGCAAACTACAATATTTTACAATATCCTACATAAGAATTTTTTTAATTTTCCCCGTAACTAATAACCACACAAAAACAATTCCAATATGGCTACTAAATCATTTGTCTTTTTAATGGTACCTTTAAAATAATGTCTCTTTAAAATGGTTTGGAGAGAAATCGGGAAATGTTCAAAATGGTCAAAGGTGGTCAAAATAGAGAAAACCCAATTTTTACCCAATAAAACACCCCGCAAAACCCCGTTCCCATGGTCCGATCATGCTGGTTCACGAACTCATTCAAGTTTATCCCGTCTTACACCTTCAAACCAAATTTAATCAAAATTGAACAAAAATTACTCAAGTTATCACGTTTACGGACACACACAGACACACATAAATATATTTTAGGTATCTATAAAAATCTATATATGCATATATAAAAGTTTGAACAAATGGCGTTTTTGGCCTCTGGGGACATCAAAACGAAAGAGTAAAATGGTCCCGGGCTTAAGTCTTACCATGAGACCTACGGTAATAGCTACTTCCCTATGGGGAAATTCGCTTATCATGGGGATGGAATGTCTAGTTGTATCAATTAGTCAAAGGTTAAACTGATCGCTTTTACTATTAATTTTTATACAGTAGAACCTCTTTAATCCGAACTAATTGGGACCGGGGGTAGTTCGGATTATTGAATAGTTTGAATTACAGAACATATTGTTTTTACATAACAATAGCTAGGGAAAAGTGAAAAATGCTTTATAAAGTAAAATACAGCGTTTATTTAATACAGTAGTAAACATAGGGAATAAACAGTACTGTACATTACAATTGAAATAATTACTGTGTGTATCTCAATAAATACAGTATACAATAAAGAACTACTTTACTGTGTACATAGTACAGCAATGAGGCGTTCGGATTAGTGGACGTTCGGATTACAGGGGTTCGGATTAAAGAGGTTCTACTGTACTTACATTACGATTATGTTTTTAGTTTTAATTCTGCCAAACTGCTAATTAATGCATAAGCCAAAGATATTTTCAGTAAAATAAGTAATAAGTACGATTGAGTTTTGATTCGATAATCAATGCTGTGCAATAAACTGTTTTTTTTTACATTATATATTGAAAGAACCACATTATTCTCATCCGCATTCCACACTCGTGGCTAAGCACAGCCAAAGCACCTAGTATCACACAAACTCGGATAAACTGTTTCAATGATTAAATTGACTAGCATATGCAATTAACAAAGTGTTTATCTGAAACCAAATCTACTCAACCTCCAATCCAAAACACTTGCACTCACCACTTTGAAGTCGTAGACCTGGATTTCAATATTGGTATTGTAGAACACCTGGTTGATATCGGTTTTCACTCTAGACCAGTCCAACCTGTCCAGCCCACAGCCTATTAGTGGCATTGCTAACTTCTTCACTTTGAACTGGAGACACTTCTCCTTCAAGGCTATCAATGAGCGATGAAGGTCTTCATATTGGGGTTTACTATTACTGAACTCTTTGGTTACCAGATAAAAGATCAACCGTCCATCCACATCAAGATGAGCACAGCCTCCAACTGAAACCTTCTGGTCCAACAACTCCCCGACTCTCTTGAATTCATTCCTGAAAAAAAATATGAGAGTAAAGAAAGACAAAATGTGAGATCCTAAATGCTTAAATGTTTAAACAAATTGAACTTTCAGTTACTAAGATTGTGATCCTGCTATAGTGTTTGCTTCAGAGTATAATATCCCAAGCAAATGTTTTTACACTGAAAAATGTATGGTTCAACCATATATTGAACTTGTGCAAACATATATTGATATCCAATAAATGGGCCTTTTATTTGTTTTTATGGGCCTAACAATTTGATTTGTAAATTTATTATGCAATTCAATTGTTTGTTATTGCCTTTACGTCAAACACTTCGTAGGTTTAGTATTTATGACCTTATTAATTACTTGCTCTGAACCTTTATATTTTATATTTCTCATTACATAATTGCCAAACAAAGCTGAAAGTGAACGATTCATTGTTACTAAACAAAGGGGGATTTCCAGTCCCTGTCCCTGTATGTGGATATCTTATAGACTACATTTTATATTTTAATTTACACCATTTACGGTAATATAGTATGTAAATAGTTTACCAAGAAGGTGATAATACAGTATTTAGCTATGTGTATCCTGTAATAAAAATGTCTTTAATATAACTATTGATTATACTACAAACGTTTCTTGCAGTTACTGTAAACGTAAAGATCAGTGGAACCAGGGAGGACCCGCAGCGCAATTTATAAAGAACCTCATTGCGCTACTAATTACTCCATTACTCACGACTGAGAAATTTTATTTGAAATTGGTTGGTTAATTGTTATATGCTGAAGATCATCCCATTAGCTACAATTTTATCGCTTGAAGTTTGCTTTTGACCAAAAATTTTTAAAAATCCAACCAAAAAAGGTGCAATTTTTTTAATATTTCGAATTACCATTTAAATAAGATAATATTTATACTGTCAGATTCTTAATTTAATGCAGATTCCAAATATATAAATATAACTGCAGTCAACCTATTGTATTGCAGCCAGGAGCGTTATTAACAACCGTGCATGGTTTGAGGAACTGACTTTACTGAGTAGGGTCCCTCATGGTGGTGGGGAAAGGTTGCCGAAACGGCGCGCTTTTTACCCCACATCTCCCTCCTATCTACCCAGTGTTCCAGTTGTATTATTTACTTCGATGGGTGCAACACAGCGAGAGAATGCAATATTAGTGTGGGTCATCACCTGAAGTTTTACATACCCAGATATTTTACCCATCTCTATTGGGTATTGAATGACATTCGCCTATTGGGTCTGATGATGAACGGAGAGTCCAATCGAAATCGATCACCACTTACCACCTTTTTTGTAAATTAACCGTGTTGTGAGTAACGGTATAAGCGTAAATATATGTTTTAGGTGTTATAAGACGTTTCTTTTATTTACTTTCCGTTAAGTTTTCTTTCACCTGAGGGATGACAGGATCAGATTGCAGATCCCAAAACGTATATTGTTTTTTACCATTGTGATGTAAAATGTCCGCAATAAACCTTTGAACAACAAGTTATTACTTACTTGAACTTCAGAGATATTCCACTAACCATGCGGAAATCTTGTCCCACACAATGGGCAAGAGCAAAGTCGTTTGGTGCGGAAAATAAGTCACCCGGAATCATTTTGACGATGTTTGGTCTCATAATGCCTAAAAAGACATGATATAATATTTAACAAGAGCTGAAGTAAACAGGAAGAAAAACAGGTACAGTAGACTCCCTCTTATCCGGACTCCTTGGGACCGAGGCCAGTCCGGATAACGGGTTTTCCGGTTAAACCGACATAAAATCTTTCCCACAAGAACAGTCGTTTCAGTACCGCCCACTTCCTGCGGATCTAGTCCGGTTAAACCAATGTGCTGATAAAATTTTTGGTTAAAGAGATGTAATTTCTGAGGAGTGTAGTCTGGTTAAACTGATGTCCGGTTAAAAAGGTGTTCGGATAAGAGGGAGTCTACTGTAGTAAAGTCTTGAAAAATATGATTATTTCATTCAATTTGTTATATCTAATTATTAAAATATATAGTAGGTAATAAATCATCTTGTGCAACAACGAACTAGGTCTACCACAGTACTAGAACGTTAGTTAGGAGACGAAAAAGAAATTTCACACAAGCACACTCGCCACCCAATCATAAAAAAGGGTTATTGCCTGTACATTGCAATTATTTGTTATTATTTTTGTCATAACATTCAAACATTGTCAGACATTGTTCCCAGGCATTGGATTGTAGTGGTTCAACGATGTTAGAGCTATAGCATTGTGTTATAGTGGTTAAGTGTGTTCAATTCAATCATTTAAATGTTCTGGCCTTTTACAAAATCAGGCCGGCCAGATAATTAAGATTCTACTGTACCCTCAAAATAAGTACAAAATAAAAACAGTAATTAAGAACTGTGATGAGCACCCATCGTAGCCAAATGAGCTAGTTTAAATTTGAGACCAATGATTAGGTTTCTGATTAAATACATTGCCAGTTTTCGGCTACTAAAACAAGACTAATTGTTGCAGTGTATGTAGTAAAGAAAACAGCTTTGGTCACAGATATTAAATAACTAGCTTGAGTTACCTACAAGTAGTCAAGTAGCTTGAGTTACTACTTGAGTTGTGTTGGCTGGTTTACCTACACTATCTTAGCAAGAGTTTACTGCATCTCAATATTACCTATAAACAATCTAAGAACACTTCTCAATACTGACCTCCAGACATTCTTGAGTCCTGGTTCGTTTGATCTTTAGATAATGTCTTTATGCAATCTTCATCCTTATTTGGGCGGTCGTCGTGCTTCGGAGGACAACTTTCAGAACAGTTGACTCCTTCATTAAAATCAGTTTTTTCACTAAGCTGGTTGTTGCCGTTATCTCTCCTGTTGTCTCTATTTTCTTCCAATTGGGGGCACCTATTGATACAAATGTTTCCAAGTTGGGGACGTCTGTTGTCTCTATTTTCTTCAAATCGAAAACCCCTATAGTCTCTATTTTCTTCAAATCCGGAACCCCTATTGTCTCTATTTCTTTCAAATCGGGAACCCCTATAGTCTCTATTTTCTTCAAATCGGGAACCCCTATTTCCTCTATTACTTTCAAAGTGGGAACCCCTAGTGCCTCTATTTTCTTCAAATTGGAAACACCAACTGTTTCTATTTCTTCCAAATCGGGAACCCCTGAGGCCTCTATTTTCCATTTGGACACCACGGCCTTGAAAATTTTGAGGAGGGTGTTTCAGTATCTCTGCATCTAACTTGGCTTCTTCAACCTACAACATTACAAAATTATCAGTAGCCAGAAATTAAACTGCAAATGAACTCAGAAAAAGAGAGAGAGAGAGAGAGAGAGAGAGAGAGTTACTTTATTTAATAACTAGCTGAACCCGGCAGACGTTGTCTTGCCTTTGACTATTTATAATTTAAGTACCGTAACGTTTAATTGTAATTGTATATGAAGTGCTTATAACTAAATTAAAATACGTACAACTAATGAAACACATATAGTACAAAGGATAACCGATTCTTTATTATTGCTCTTATATTAATGCTAGGTTATGCTAGCTTAATTATTAATGGTTATTTTCATTCATGGTTATTAATGACAGTATTTTCAAGATGATCTCGTTCGCATGGCTCAATCACGTCCTGGTTGAAGTTCGTTCACTACGCTCACTCACCTTTAGGTTGGAGCTTGTTCGCTACGCTCACTCACCTTCAGGTTGGAGCTCGTTCGCTGCGCTCACTTGCCTTCAGGTTAGCTCGTTCGCTACGCTCACTTGCCTTCAGGTTAGCTCGTTCACTACGCTAACTCACCTCCAGGTTGAAGTTCGTTCGCTATGCTCACTCACCTTTTGGTTGCAAATTAGCTGTTGTCATAAATGTAAAAGAAATAATAGTGCTGCACCCTGTTGGTAATCCTTGTAACTTTAATGCTATTGAACATCATAGAACAGAACCAACTTGTTTAATTGAAACAGCTGTTAAGATTCATTAATTCAATTTCTCATAAGGTTAACATAGGAAACTCCAGAGCCACTGGGGCGGAGCCGATTGGACGGATCACGAAATTGATGGTGTATAAACCTATTCCATGAAATTCTACACGGTTCAGCGGTGTCTGAGTTTATCACTGCCAAACAAATATATATATATATATACAAACATCCTCTTTTATACTTATATAGAAGATTTAAAAACCGGTTCATAATTAAAATTACTTTTAATAGCCTGTGTCTTGTTAAACATTTTTAGCTGCCATTTTATTAGTGGTCTAATTTCTATTCTCTTTATGTCAACTGTTTGGTTTTATCAAAACCAGTAAAATTATATGAAAGTCGACTATACTTCCCATTCAGGCTCCCCTAACCCTCCAACTGGCAATGGGCGAACGCTGTAGTGGCAAGGCAGTTTTGGAGAAAAATAACTTGCACCCCTCTTAGATTTTAAACTTTTTGAGGTAACCTATTTGAAATCAGTTTGCAAAAACCTTCTGAGATATGAAGGGCTACAGTTATGATAGTTAATTTTCAACATCTTAATAGCCTTAGGGGTAGTGGGGGTATGGGCAAGGCCACACTAAAAAACAGGCCGTAATGCTTGTCAAGCATGACGTCACGATAGAAGACGGCAATGACGTAATTAAGGTTATATTTTTGTTTTCGATGAAAAGATTAAAACAAGCAGCTAATCACAAACGGTAAACATTATGTCATTGCCATCTTCTATCGTGACATCATGCTAGACGAGCATTACGGCCTGTTTTTTTAGTGTGGCCTTGGTAGGGGTTAGCTCCAAATTGTTTAACCCTCCAACTGGCAGCGCCACTATAATAATAGTCACGGTCGGTGGTTTATGTAGTGGCAGCGACTATAATAGTAATGTTTTGTAAGGTTTTGATTAACTACAAATAAATATTTAAAAACAATTGTAAATGGAATAATTTTATACTGTTTGAAAGATAAGATTCTAAACTTGAATTTTGTTACATATATAAACTGTTGTAAGGTCCCAAATGGGACCAATATTAAATTTTAAATTAGAGCGGGAAATGTTACTGGCAGCGTCCACCCGCCGCACTAGTAGCGTCTTTAAGGACGTAGTGGTAGGGGTAGGGCAAGAGTTCTCCAGGACCTAGGATCAACCGACACTCGATCGGCCGGCGTGTAGCTGGTCACTTCTCTCCTCTACTCCCTCTAAACTAAGGCAGGAACCCACGTTGGTCTAACCCACAGAGTGGTATAGTAAAGGTTGAACATAGTCATCGTCCCTATTTCGGATATTGAACAGTAAGTACTCCGGTATTAATTTTTCTAAATTTAAAATTATTATGGTAATAGCTTTTGTCATTCCTTTTTTATGGAAATTTTAGGCTGGCTAGGCTACGAAAGTTCAATCTAAATAGGTTAAACCCTTAACAGGACTACTCAGTATTATTGCTAGTTGTGGCTTGAGCTTCAATTATTTCTTGGTGTAGACTAATAGGGGTCTACTACAGTATTTGTATTAAAATTATATTGTTAGCGGACGGGCGAAACAGCTCACGTCCATCGATAGTAGCTTAGCTCTGCACTTGCCACTCATAATTATAGTGGTTATTTTATTATTGTATTAAATTGAATTGTTAGGTGACGGGCGGAATAGCCTTGTCAACGAAATCAAATCCTAGTTCACACGACTTTCACACTATATATATTTTTACTAAATATATTGTTAGGGGCGGGCGAAAAAGCTCAGTTTAACATCACTACTTATGACAAATTAAGATTCTTATTAGTGACGGGCGTAACAGCCCCGTGATATCTGTCCCGTTGTGTGTTCTTTAAATTAATACCCATCTATTTAGATTATTCACTTAAAATTGATTTAAACCTGAGATATTCCCCACGTCACACCCGGGTGAAACAACTCAGGGAACCTAGGACGTAGTTGTTAGTCGTGACAATAATTTTCGTTAGTTATTCTTATTTTTGATTTTATTAGTTTTGTTAAAAGGTGAAGTAACCTTTTTAGAAGTAATTTTATTTTGGTGAGCGTAGGTAACGCACTAGCAGTAGTGTTTGTTCATGGCTAACCTACGGTTCTCTCTTTTTGTGATGTTTAAGATTAACCTTTTTAACTTAACATCAATGATAATAAAAACACGATCGGGGATTAATTGGCTTTAATTTGGGCAATGATGATGACCAATAATTTATTGAATAAATGATAACATCCTATGGTCTGAGCCCAGCCAATTAATAATATAACTTGAACCAGGGGTGCCCATACCCCCTAGACTCATGATGCACCCCCCCCCCCCCCCAATTGAGCACCAGCCCCCACCATAAGGGGCGGTTCACGAGCTCGGGACTTCATAGTCCGCGACCAGGCGTTGGTCCGGGACTATATAAGCGACGACCAAAAAATGGGTTCACGAGTCAGAGCCTAATGATGTGGAAGCCGGGCCCAGTGTAGGTCGAGACCAAATCCGTAGCGGAGCCTAATGACAGGGATTCGCAGGGAATTTCCGTTGAGACGTTGGTATCAACCAGTAACATCAGTCTGGAAACACATGTGAAGCCACTGCTGTTGACATACGCACTTCCATACAATAGGATGATCGTGAAAAAGGGCTGGACCAAAATGTTCAAAACGATAATTTTTCTCGTATTTAATTGTCCCAATGCTCGCCTATGATAATCTATCTAAGTTTATTGATTTATAAATCCACGTTTGTATGGAATCAGATAATGGAAGTCTTTAGTGAAATATATTTTTCTGTGTGCATTATTATAATTTAATTAAGATGCATGACATAAAATAACCGGGTATTTATAAACGGATGAATTCCTATTTTGCATAAATGCCCGATAATTTAGGATGGTGATTTTTTGATAGGATAGTTGTAACTAAACTTATTTAAATGGCACAATTATTGAAACTAAAATGTATTTTAGATGTACTGATTATTAGATATAAAAATTGTATGTTTGTGCTGGATTTAATCGTGGCTGTAACCTAAGAATATTCTTTCCGTTATTCTTACACTCTTTAATAATCTAACTTTAAAATGTTGAAAATAATATTCTGCAGTTAGCTCGTAATATTAGTTATGTTAACAGCTATGGTTTTTAATTTACAAAAACGTCTTTAATTTACGTTTATATTTAGGAAAACATTGTTTTTTCTTTTGGATATAGTTTCAAACTAAAAATTTGATTTGTTCTGCTTTCATAAAAAAAAAAAAAAAAAAAAAAAAAATAGCTATCATCCAAGCTTTACTAACATCCAATAAATCACCAGTTTCTCGATGAAAAGTGCTATCAGCCAAAAATATTAGTGCAACTAACATTTTTTTTCAATTTAGAATACAGTTATGGATTTTGCTGTCGGGAAATCCGTGCCTTTGAGTGAACGCCTCAAATGACTCATTGACGGCATCTTTGGAACATTTTAATCTACCTTTAAATTCATCAAGTCATAAAAGGGTTTTAGTCATGATAACGAGCTGGTCCTATGCGAGGTAGTGGAGTGATGGTACATAATTGTTAACATAATACAGTATGCTGTAGATATTTCATAGTCATATTTAATACACACGGCGACCAGTGAGTACAACACAAGACGGTGATATACCGCGAACCGTACTCAACGACTGACGGTTTGCTTGATGTTTCCCACGTCAAAAAACCATTTCTGATAATTATTAGATAACGATGGTTTAACTGTGGCTGATTAGTTATATTTATATTCTACACATAATTTTCTCGTTAAAATTGTAATAACTTGGGGTTTATCAGTAAAATATCTTTGTTATGATACTACTTTGTTACGTGCATAATTTATGTGTCGTTTTAAGTTGTTTGATGATTTTTTTCATGTTTTATGATCCTTTTTACCATTTTTACATATTTTTTTAAATATGGTGTTGTGGGTAATGAAAGTGTTCGGAATTTAATGAGGAACCATATTTAAACATTAGTTTTTAACAAATAATAAAAATAAAGGAGCTAATTAGATAAAACCGGCATCATGTCACGTTAAACCTGCCTCCTACCAGGTCTGAGTTGGAGACCAAACACCATTGTTCTTTTGGGCCCGAACCATCTCATTTGGGCTCGGACTTGACTCGTGAACCCACCGGGACTAATGATCAGAGCCGGGACTATCTGTAATTGGACTCGTGAACCCAACTTTTAAAACCGGGTTTTATCCCTGCACTAATTGTGTGCCGCCTATCAGTTTGGTCCGCGGCTTATATTGTCTCGAGCTCGTGAACCCGATTTTTTAAGTCGCGGCCCAAATACCGGTTATTTCCGGATTCTGGGCTCGGACTACGATAGTCCCGAGCTCGTGAACCGCCCCTTAATGAGTTACACATCAAATGTGAAACATTGTTCCCCACCCAGTAGCCTATTATTTGTAAAACTAAAGGAAGATTTATAAATTTCTTAGATTTTACAAATTCAAACCCAGTTAATCTATATAAATAAAATAGGCTAACAGTTTTGTCTATACATTGCTCAGAATTAAACATATTTTTGGTTATTTTTGCTTTTTATACAGGAGTTGAAAAGCTGTCTTATCTCAATTATGTCTGTCTGTCACGGCCCAGAAGGCATTTTACGCAGTTTACTCTAAAGAAAACTAGAGTACTGATATAAGGAAGTAGATTTGCAAATAAATAAGTTATGGGCAAGAAACGGATTTCAGTACACAGTGTTTAGCTAAGAATGCATAGCCTAACCATAGCTAGGAATCTGGCTGATAATTTAGGCCTACATCAATATCACTACTTACTTCTTCAGGATCATCAACCAGCCCTTCAAAATCACTTAAATCTTCTTATAATGCACCACGTAAGTTATATCACTACTTTTGATTTTTAACACTAAAACAATGATAAACGTAATAAAACACATCAACCATCGCTGCGAGGTTAACCAAGCTGTTTACAAATAAGTTACGCACGTCAGCTGTCTGCTACAATATTTTCGGAACTAAAATGAAAAGCGCTTAGAGACAGACCTCCAGAGAAAGCTCTGAATCTGTAAAATAAAACGATAATACCTAACTCGATCCAGTTCAATCCGATTTTGTCAGTCATAGAGCCTTCGCCGTAAACAGTGTTTGTGAGTCGATGCATCGAAACAAATCACTACACAAAGTGTGTTATGTTATGCCCCTAAAGTAAACAAATACCAAAATGGAATGAAGGTTTACTAGGCTAATCCAAAAAATAGTTCTGTTTTTAACCCTCCGAGTGTTATTTGTCGATGTGTCGACACATAACACACTTTGTGTAGTGATTTGTTTCGATGCATCGACTCACAAACACTGTTTACGGCGAAGGCTCTATGACTGACAAAATCGGATTGAACTGGACCGAGTGGTATTTGTTTACTTTAGGGGCTTCTAACGAATTTTGAAAAAAATGTTTTTTTCTCATTATTTGGCCTATTTTGAACACTTTTTACATTTGGCACTTTTGGGGCAAACGGATATTTCACCCTGAAAATTGCGTTTGAAAATCGCGAAAATTTTTCAGCAATTGCCATTTTTACTTTGAAAATCAGGTTTCCCCCCCCCTTGCCTTTCTTTAAATGTGTTTTTATTATTGTAGTAATAAGCAGATGTTATGTTTATTATAACCTAACCTTGGTTCAACTAAAAATCCGCTATTTTCGGCATATTGCTAACCTAAGCATTGGTTAGGTAGGGTTGGGTTAGGTTAGGTTAGATTTCAAATATTCAGGTGATTTTAGGCTAATTAAATTAAATAATAACTTAATAACTAGCCATACCTTACCTAACCTGAACTAACCTAACCTAACCTAACCTAACCTTACCTAACCTAACCTTACCTTGGTTTAACTAATAATTCGCTATTTTCGGCATATTGCTAATCTAAGCATTGGTTAGGTAGGGTTGCGTTAGGTTAGGCTAGGTTAAGTTAGGTTAGGTTAGATTAGATTAGATAAAGTTAGGTTGGATTATATTCAGTTCTGTAGGTCCTAGGTAATAGTAAAAACACATTAAGAGTAAAAGTACCACTCAAATTTTTAGCACTTTTTGCAATTTTCAAACGCGATTTTTAGGGTGAAAAAGGCATTTGCCCCAAAAGTGCCAAATGTAAAAAGTGTTCAAAATAAGCCAATTAATGAGAAAATAACATTTTTTTCAAAATTCGTTAGAAGCCCCTAAAGTAAACAAATACCCATTATTTTATCGATTTTATAACTAGCCTACTTTTTTCATTGTTGATAGGTAACTTGTAGTTTGTATTGAAGTATTTTTGACAAAAGTTATACTAGGCTATACGTTATTGAAATTAACTGTTTTAACTTAAGTAAACTTAACTAAAATAACTAACCAAACTTGCTGTAAGTTAACATTTCAAAATTCTGTTTGATATCCCCCACATGCTTTTTCTGTTATCAAACGGGGGCCGCACTTTACTATCTGTCCTACACTCATTCAAATGAATATAAGTTATAGCCTATGGTATTTGTGTAGGACAGATAGTAAAGTGCAGCCCCCGTTTGATAACAGAAAAAGCATGTGGGGGATATCAAACAGAATTTTGAAATGTTAACTTACAGCAAGTTTGGTTAGTTATTTTAGTTAAGTTTACTTAAGTTAAAACAGTTAATTTCAATAACGTATAGCCTAGTATAACTTTTGTCAAAAATACTTCAATACAAACTACAAGTTACCTATCAACAATGAAAAAAGTAGGCTAGTTATAAAATCGATAAAATAATGGATTGAACAATCAAATTAAATAATCGATATAGGACCTATTGATAGTTTTAATCATATGAATGTGGGGCATAAACTTAGTACAGCCATGCAAAATCATATTAAAGGCTAAAATGATAATCATAAAAATCTAAGATGGTCAGATTGAGTGGCCTACCTTGTTGATTTGATATGAAATAACTCTGGGGTTAAACCATATTCCAATAAGTTCAAGAAAGCTTGGTATACCACTCACCTTCACCTTACCAACTTATTTAAGAGGAAGTATGGCCCCCACCTGCTAATCGTAAGGTGGGTTAAGGCTAATATTTATAAAACCCATGAGCTTGAGCTCAACTGATAAGATAGATTACTACTTATATATTATAGGACTTATTTAAATGCATGGGGACTGGCAAGCATATTTTAAGAATTCTCATCAAGAATGAACTAACTTGCTATGCTTCACTCTACGTCATCTGTCTAAAGCAATCATTTCATTATTAATCTAAATCTAACTAACAACAACAACACCAACTTTAGATAAGATAACAAAAACAAAACAAAACGAAGGAAGGAGCACGTTGTCGTTGAGACTTGAGACAGGTATCTGGAGCGAGCATCAGGCAGGACAGTATCAGTACCGTGAAGCTGGCCCGCCCATTCCAGCACACTTTTTTTAATGTATACAAAAAAGTGTGCTAAAAGTGTGCTCTTTATAACTGCTATTAAAAAAAAGTGTGCTCTTATAATAATTATGATATAATCAATTGTATTTGGGCGGGCCAGAATCACGACTGGCCCGCCCATTTCAGCTACAGATCTATAAACCATACCAAAAAACTGTGCTGAAAGTGTGCTCACAGGAATCAATAATAAAAAATAGTGTGCCACCCCCGTTACTATACAAACAACCCCTAAATGGTAAGGGTAATAAAATGACCCAGCCCGCCCATTTCAGCTACAGATCTTTAAACCATGCCAAAAAACTGTGCTAACAGTGTGCTCACAGGAATCATTAATAAAAAAAAGTGTGCCGCCCCCGTTACTATACAAATAACCCCTAAATGGTAAGGGTATAATAAAATGACCCAGCCCGCCCATTTCAGCTATAGATCTGTAAACCATACCAAAAAACTGTGCTGAAAGGGTGCTCAGAGGAATCATTAATAAAAAAAGTGTGTCGCCCCCGTTACTATACAAAACAACCCCTAAATGGTAAGGGTAATAAAATGACCCAGCCCGCCCATTTCAGCTACAGATCTATAAACCATACCAAAAAACTGTGCTAAAAGTGTGCTCACAGGAACCATTAATTAAAAAAGTGTCCCCGCTACCAATCGTATGTAATTTAGCTACACATCATGGCTACACATAGTCTGAATAGTCAACCTGCCCGCCACCCCAGCAGCTTGTAAACTATTTAAGTGCTACAGAATTAATGATTAGCCATGGCCCAACTGCGACTTTAAATGTCATATTATTTTTGTTTTTAATTCAAATGTCAAGAAAATAAAAGTGTTTACATACGAAAAGGAGCATTATGTAACTTTTTTTATTTTGGTTTTAATCGAAAGGAATATTGTTTAACATATTTTAATACTAGCTGTACCCGCGGGCTTTGCCCCGTTTAACTTCACAAGTTAGCTCGTTCGCATGGCTCAATCACGTCCTGGTTGAAGTTCGTTCGCTACGCTCACTCACCTTTAGGTTGGAGCTCGTTCGCTCCGCTCACTTGCCTTCAGGTTAGCTCGTTCGCTACGCTAACTCGCTTCCTGGTTGAAGTTCGTTCGCTACGCTCACTCACCTTTAGGTTGGAGCTTGTTCGCTCCGCTCACTTGCCTTCAGGTTAGCTCGTTCGCTACGCTAACTCGCTTCCAGGTTGAAGTTCGTTCGCTACGCTAACTCGCTTCCAGGTTGAAGTTCGTTCGCTACGCTCACTCACCTTTTGGTTGCAAATTGGCTGTAGCCATAAATAAAAAAAAATAATAGTGCTGCACCCTGTTGGCAATCCTTGTAACTTTAATGTTATTGAACATCATAGAACAGAACCAACTTGTTTAATTGAAACAGCTGTTTAGAAATTCCTTTTAAATATGAAAAATCATAAGGTTAACATGGGAAACTCTAGAGCCACTGGGGCAGAGCCCGAATCCCCGATCAGAATAAAAACTACTTAGTTTTCCTATTTAATGCCCAAAGATTCGGTGTACCGAATTTCAGCCTCCTAAGTAAATGGGAAGTGGGAGAATTAGTGATGAGTGAGTGAGTGAGTGAGTGAGTCAGTCAGTGAGGGCTTTGCCTTTTATATATTTAGATATAGTGAAAATTACTTATTAAAAAAAATTAATAAAAATTACATACACACATTGATTGGTTTCTAGCCTGACAGATCTTTTTAAATAGTTTTTATTTACCTATTTAATGATTAAAGTTAACAGCTTTATTATGGGACTCCCAATTTTTAAAAGCTAGATTTTTTAATGTATATAATGTTGTTTGTAATCTTAGACAATTTACAATCAATTATGGTACACCTATACTTAAAATTATTCAGAGAATTCAATAGATAATGGGTTACACCATTATAATCTATGGTTTATTAAGATTGCAGTGATAATCTATATATTCTACTAGCTGAACCCGGCAGACGTTGTCTTGCCTTTGGCTATTTATAATCCCGCGGGCTTTGCCCCGTTTAACTTCTTAATTTTCAAGATGATCTCGTTCGCATGGCTCAATCACGTCCTGGTTGAAGTTCGTTCGCTACGCTCACTCACCTTTAGGTTGGAGCTCGTTCGCTACGCTCACTCACCTTTAGGTTGGAGCTCGTTCACTGCGCTCACTTGCCTTCAGGTTAGCTCGTTCGCTACGCTAACTCGCCTCCAGGTTGAAGTTCGTTCGCTACGCTCACTCACCTTTTGGTTGCAAATTAGCTGTTGTCATAAATGTAAAAGAAATAATAGTGCTGTACCCTGTTGGTAATCCTTGTAACTTTAATGCTATTGAACATCATAGAACAGAACCAACTTGTTTAATTGAAACAACTGTTAAGATTCATTAATTCCATTTCTCATAAGTTTAACATGGGAAACTCCAGAGCCACTGGGGCGGAGCCCATTGGACGTATCACGAAATTGATGGTGTATAAACCTATTCCATGACATTCTACACGTATGTACCAAGTTTCGTGGCAATCGGTTCAGCGGTGTCTGAGTTTATCACTACCAAACAAACAAATATATATACAAACATCCTCTTTTATACTTATAGATTGATTTTGAATAATCTACATTTATTTGCAAAGTGTGAGGAGTGCGTGGGCCGGTCACATTAAAGCTGTCACCGAGCGCAACGGCGGCGCCACCTCGCGTTTGAGTACAGGTACTACTGTCGGGGAAAAAAGTTTAGACACTCGAGTTTGGAGCTCTACAGAAAAGTAACCAACCAACTTAGAAAAACACGTAGTATATATAAATTTTCGTTGTTTAATTCTACGTATCCCTGTGTAAACAAAAAATTTTTAGCTAGTTTAGGATTTTATTTATGACAGTCGGAAGGTAAAAACTCCCTGTTTTTAGAGTACCAAAAACCATCTTATGACTTTGAAAATTCGCACAATGTAAACTAAACTTCAGAACTTTATCAAACTTTAATACAATATAGACACATATATAACGAATTAATTTGTGTAGTTTCAGAATTTTTACTCTACCCAAAAAGTTTTTGTTGTACCTTTGTAAATCAACTTTTTCTAAAAAACGGCAAACGCTAGAAAAAAAATTAAAAGCTTGTTATAATAACTTGGTTATTTGCAGCAACTATACGAATAAATATATTCCCTTTATTCATGGGACTTAAGTTTTTTATTGAGACCTTTTATTCTTTTCTATAATAATCATCTAAGTTATTGGCTTACAATTATTCCTTTGCAAAATTAGGGTGTGCTAAATCAATTAAATTGGCGTTAATCAACAAATAATGCATACACAGAGTAAGATAAGAGTAGTTCAAAGAAGGAAGTAGGCCTACAAAAATCTCACGATGGTGTAGACAGGATTCTTCATTTTATTACTCTTGCCAATTAGGGGTTATTTTTTTACTAACGGGGTGGCACGCTTTTTTTATAAATGATTCCCATAAGCACACTTTTAGCACAGTTTTTTGGCATGGTTTATAGATCTGTAGCTGAAATGGGCGGGCTGGGTCATTCTATTACCCTTACAAGTTAGGGTTTGTTTGTTTAGTAACGGTGGCGGCACACTTTTTTTTATTAATGATTCCTGTGAGCACACTTTCAGCACAGTTTTTTGACATGGTATATACATCTGTAGCTGAAATGGGCGGGCTGGGTCATTTTATTACCCTTACCATTTAGCGGTTATTTGTATAGTAACGGGGGCGGCACACTTTTTTATTAATGATTCCTGTGAGCACACTTTCAGCACAGTTTTTTGACATGGTATATAGATCTGTAGCTGAAATGGGCGGGCTGGGTCATTTTATTACCCTTACCATTTAGGGGTTGTTTGTATAGTAACGGGGGCGACACACTTTTGTTATTAATGATTCCTGTGAGCACACTTTCAGCACAGTTTTTTTGTATGGTTTACAGATCTATAGCTGAAATGGGCGGGCTGGGTCATTTTATTATACCCTTACCATTTAGCGGTTATTTGTATAGTAACGGGGGCGGCACACTTTTTTTATTAATGATTCCTGTGAGCACACTTTCAGCACAGTTTTTTGACATGGTATATAGATCTGTAGCTGAAATGGGCGGGCTGGGTCATTTTATTACCCTTACCATTTAGGGGTTGTTTTGTATAGTAACGGGGGCGACACACTTTTTTTATTAATGATTCCTGTGAGCACCCTTTCAGCACAGTTTTTTGGTATGGTTTACAGATCTATAGCTGAAATGGGCGGGCTGGGTCATTTTATTATACCCTTACCATTTAGGGGTTATTTGTATAGTAACGGGGGCGGCACACTTTTTTTTATTAATGATTCCTGTGAGCACACTTTTAGCACAGTTTTTTGGCATGGTTTAAAGATCTGTAGCTGAAATGGGCGGGCTGGGTCATTTTATTACCCATACCATTTAGGGGTTGTTTGTATAGTAACGGGGGTGGCACACTATTTTTTATTATTGATTCCTGTGAGCACACTTTCAGCACAGTTTTTTGGTATGGTTTATAGATCTGTAGCTGAAATGGGCGGGCCAGTCGTGATTCTGGCCCGCCCAAATACAATTGATTATATCATAATTATTATAAGAGCACACTTTTTTTAATAGCAGTTATAAAGAGCACACTTTTAGCACACTTTTTTGTATACATTAAAAAAAAGTGTGCTGGAATGGGCGGGCCAGCTTCACGTCACTGACAGTATCAGATTCTGCTGAGGAGGTGGGGCGAGGCATGAGGCATCGCATTT